TCAACAGGTCTACAACCTGTCATTCCTGTCTCCTCAAGAATATCTAAGGCATACTTTCGTTGTAAGATCACAATACCTGAGCTAGACTGAGCGACCTCAATACCCAGAAAATACTTTAGTTTACCCAGATCCTTAATCTGAAAGTGTTGAAAGAGATGTTGCTTCAATTTAGTAATACCATCCTGGTCATTGCCGGTAATAACAATGTCGTCAACATAGACCACCAGATAAATACAGAGACTCGAAGTAGAATGCCGATAGAATACATAGTGATCAGCTTCACTCCGAATCATGCCAAATTCCTGGATAACTGTGCTGAACTTAGCAAACCAGGCTCGAGGAGATTGCTTTAGACCATAAAGTGACCGGCACAAGCGACATGCAAGGCCACGAGACTCCCCCCTGAGCAACAAACCTAGGTGGTTGCTCCATATAAACTTCATCCTCAAGGTCACCGTGTAAAAAACATTCTTAATGTCCAGCTGGTAGAGGGGCCAATGGCGAACAATAGCCATGGATAGAAAAAGGCGGACTGATGCTATCTTAGCCACGGGAGAGAAGGCATCACTGTAATCGAGCCCAAATATCTGAGTATATCCCTTGGCAACAAGACGAGCCTTAAGACGAACAACCTTACCATCCGGACCAACCTTGACTGCATACACCCAACGGCAACCAACAGTAGATTTACCTGAAGGAAGAGGGACGAGCTCCCAAGTACCACTCATATGTAAAGCAGACATCTCGTCAATCATAGCCTGTCGCCATCCCGGATGAGACAATGCTTCACCTGTAGACTTAGGGATGGAAACAGAGGACAAAAAAGATAGAAAAACATAATATGGTGATGACAAACGATGATAACTCAAACCGACATAATGGAGATTAGGATTAAGAGTGGTCCATATACCTTTCCGAAGTGCAATCGGTGTACTAGGAAGAGACAAGTCCACAGTAGGAGCAGGGTCAGGTGCATAACGTGAATCAGCTGGGCCTGATGCTGGGTGCGGACGACGATGATGTGTCAAGAGTGGTGTTCCTATGGCAGGGAGTCTAGGAGGGGCCACACTAGACTCCTCAATGATTGGAATGGGTAAAACTTCTGTAGCGGAAGGTGAATGAGGAGCTATAGTAGACTCGGGTAAGATTTCTGTGGCGGAAGGTGAAGGAGGAGCTATAGTAGACTCCTTAAAGGTCGGTATAGGTAAGACCTCAGATATATCAAGGTGGTCAAAATGGTCAGAAGAGGTAAAGAAAGGTTTAGACTCAAAAAATGTGGCGTCAGAGGACATAAAGTACCTATGAAGATCAAGTGAGTAACAAGATATCCCTTCTGAACACGAGAATAACCAAGGAAGACACACTTGAGAGCACGAGGAGCTAACTTATCTTTCCCAGGGGTTAAGTTATGAACGAAACAAGTGCTCCCAAAAACACGAGGGGGAACAGAGTATAAGGGTGATTGGAGAAACAATACTGCATACGGTAGCTGATTCTGGATGGGAGAGGAAGGCATCCGATTAACTAAATAACAAGCTGTGAGAACTGCATCGCCCCAAAAACGCAATGGAACATGAGATTCAATGAGAAGTGTGCGAGCAGTCTCAATGATGTGCCTATTCTTTCTCTCTGCAACCCCATTTTGCCGAGGGGTATAAGGACAAGAGGTCTGATGAATAATTCCTTGAGTAGTCATAAACTGCTGAAATTGAGAGGATAAATATTCTAAGGCATTATCACTGCGAAAAGTGCGAATAGAAACACCAAATTGATTTTTAATCAGCACAAAAATTCTGGAATATAGAAAACAACTCAGAACTATCTTTCATTAAGAAAATCCAAGTACATCTTGAATGATCATCAATGAAACTAACAAAATAACGAAATCCCAAGGTTGAACTGACTCTACTAGGACCCCATATATCAGAATGAACTAAAGAAAAAACAGACTCTGCATGACTCTCAATACTACGAGGAAAGGAGGCTCGGGTATGTTTCCCGAGCTGACATGACTCACACTCTAATGTAGATAAACCAGACAAACTAGGCACCATTTTCTGAAGCTTGGATAAGCTTGGATGTCCTAAACGTCTGTGAATTAGGTCCGGAGGATCTGTAACTAGACATGCCTTGGAGGAATTGAGTGACTTAAGGTAGTAAAGGCTTTCTGATTCAAGTCCTGTTCCAATCGTCTGCCCTGTATTGCGATCCTGCATAATAAAGGAATCATCAATAAAATATATACCACAATGGAGGGCACGAGTCAAACGACTAATAGATGCAAGATTAAAAGGACAGCCAGAGACATAGAGAACGAAATCTAGAATGACAGAGGGTAGGGGATTCGTTTGTCCAACTCCTTTTGCTTTGGTTTGAGACCCATTGGCTAAAGTAACAGGGGGAAGAGACTGTGAATACGCAATATTTGACAAAAGTGATTTATTACCAGAGATATAATCGGAAGCGGCGGAGTCCACAACCCATTGTCCAAGCGTACTAGACTGGGAAATACAAGCAAAAGAATTACCAACAACAGAAGTATCAGTCTGAGCAACAGAGGCTACTTGTGGAGATGTCTGCTTGCTTGCTCGATACTGAAGGAACTCATTATACTCTCCTTCAGATAAAGAAAATCCCTGGTTACTTGTAGTCTCAGTCTGAGCAACATAAGCATTTTTGGTTGGGCGACCATGTAAAGAATATCACACGTCACGGGTGTGTCCAATTTTATGACAATAAGAGCACTTGGGTCTAGATCTTCCAAAACGACCTCCTCCTCGTCTATTCTCCATAGTATGAGATGCCCGATTGTCCACTGACTGGGATACGAGGACAGATGAGTCAAGTGTCTGTGATGAGCTCACTGGGTGACTTGGTGCTGCAGCAAGGCGAAGTAATCGAGAGAATAATTCATCAACTGTGGGGACAGTCGGACTAGCCAAAATCTGGTCACGTACTGAATCAAGGTCATTAGGGAGTCCAGCGAGTGTAAGAACTAGAAACATCTTCTGTCGTTGCTTTTGTTGCTTTTCAATACTAGCAGAAACTGGCATCAATGTCTCAAGTTCTTCCATGACTGCCTGTACTTGTCCCAAGTAAGTAGACATATCCAATTCCTGTTTCTTCAAGCTTGTCATTCGCGATATTACATCATACAAACGAGATGTCATTAGTGTATAAATTACGAGCCTTTTGCCAAACTAAATAACATGTCTGAAATGGACGGAACAAGGGCATCAACTTGGAATCAATAAATCGCCACAGGATACTACATAACTGAGCATCGACCTTCTCCCACAGTGTTTTGGCCTTTTCATCACCTTCGCTATCCTTTTTTGTTAAATGATCTTGAACTCCTTGACCTTTACACCACAACTCGACAGGCGAAGCCCAAGCTAAGTAGTTTGAACCTCCCATTAAAGGTTCTTAGGTAATCATAACACCGGAACTGCCAGAACCCGAGTTTTTTAGACCCGAAAGCATCGACTCCCAAAGACATCGTTGGATTATCACCAAATAACAGAAATAATCAACTGACAACTCGCTGAAACAGATGAAGGAATCACTGTTTTTGCCGGAAAATTACTGTAGCTACCGGAAAAAATCAGTGTAGTCGCCGGAAAAACTCAAAGTGGTCAGAATTAAAAAATAAAAATATGGATAGGGTCGGAATTTGAGGGCGATCCAACTGCTCTGAAGGAACGAAGTCAAAAACTGCCCAGAAAATGCTCCACGCGCCGGCGCGTAGAGTAGATCTCGCCGAAAAAAAAAACCTTCTGATCGGCGCGTGGAGGCACGTGAGACGGCTGCCGGCGGAGGTGTTTGTTGGGGTTTGGTCACAGGGGGTTGGGGGACCTTGTGGTGGTGTTGGTTTTTTGCACAACAACGATGTAAATTGGTTTGACGAAAAACAGCCCTAAAAAGGTTGCCGGAATTGAAGCACGGCGACTTTCCCGGATATTTTCTCACTGCTGCTCTGATACCATGTGAGAATACACGGGAGAAAATATGATTGATATTATTCACATATGTTAAACACGATACAATGAGCCCTATATATATATACATAACATGTCCTACTCCTAATACATATGGGATTAGGATTATTTTTCCTATTTACATAACTATATTCTAACAAGAGTCAAGAAACTTTAGGTGATTTTTCTCCATCTACCTAATTGGTGGGCCGAGTTATATAGTACCTCTGTTAGTGGGAGGTAGCAGGTATCATATGGAATAGTTAAGGTGCACGCAAGGTCGCAAGCTAGGTGTGACACTACCATTATAAAAAATAGCTTCTCCTTCTCCTTTTTAATTGGAGAAAAGAAGAGGAGAGAGTATGGAAGAGGGAGAAGAAGACAATTAAGAGCGACCAATTTAGTTCTAATGGGACATGAATTCTTATGAAATGAACCGTTGGAATTGGTAACGGTGACTAAACTATAGTTTCAGTTGAATGTGGTTTCTTCTTCATGAAATAATTATGAATTTGAAGCCTGATCTTAGAACTTGAACATATGTTAAATGATGAACCAAAAGTTAACCAGTTGGGATTGCCAGTTGACCCTTTTTCTTCCTTCTTTTCTTTGCAGCAAGTTCATGTAACACTTTCACTAAAACCTTCTCCGGGATTGATGGAGCTGGGAAAAGACTAGCAGATGAAGTGAGTAAAAGAGGTGGTGCATGGACTTAGTTGTGCTTGTGATATTAGTACTACACAGTGTCATGGTGTAAGTTGGGTCTAAGTCTGGTGCAAATAAGCAAATATAGGGGTATACTCAATCAATCAAGCAATCAACTTCCCTTAGTCCCAACCTTGTTGGGCTCGCTATATGAATCGTTTGTACTCATTTTTGCTCTATTCTAGCATTCTTGAGTATTCAGATGTTTACTATTATTTAGACTACTTTTTCATTGGCCATCAACCTACTCTCTCCCTCCTCCTTCATTCAAGCTTGGAACCAATTGTGCTTGCACATAGACGGAGTTTCTAGAGGTATATTTTATCCATCATAATAGATAACTGAAAATGGATGTAATCTGACCTGGTAGCTGCTATCCAGGAAGCTCGGCCTCCTAAGCGGGATACAAATATGGCATAATGCGGAGACTTTTCTAGCAGTTCTGTGGTGGCGGATATGACCCTATTCACATATTTATAAGAACTGAAAGAAACAGACCCAGATGATATATTGTACTATCGAATTTTCCAAGTTATCTGAATATTTTTTCTCCTTTCGTCTGATCTCAAATGGTTCTTTGAATACTAGTAAAAAGACCTTCTCTCTGCCTACTTCTTCGAATTAGCAGTGAACTTTTATTAATGCACCACTAGTTATGCGAATTGGATTATCACCTTCATTTTTAAATAAAAAGTTCTTTCTTGATTTTCTTGATGGAAGTGTTCAATCTGCATTCCTTATCATAATTTTCTTTTAAAAAAAAACTGAATGGTCAAATTGTTTCCAAGTACACTTCTCTGATTTGAAATCATAAATTTTTCCATTCCATGCTTCTCAGAAGTTAGATGCCTATTTTAAAGTTGTCGGATTTTACCTTGTGATTGCTGAATGATTTGCCTTTTATATATGTCACAACTAATTATGAACAGGTCATGCTGGTTGTAAAGAAGCGAGATAGCCTAAAGAAGATTTCCTTTCTAGCTCATTCTCTAGGTGGATTGATTGCAAGATATGCTGCTGGTGTTCTTTATACATCAACCAAGCATAGTGACCCTTCTGATGATGTGATCGCTTCAACTAACGCAAACTTCAAAATGACATGCTTCTCAAATAAAGGCTTAATTGCTGGGCTGGAACCAATCAATTTTATCACCTTGGCAACGCCACATCTTGGTGTGAGAGGGAAAAAGCAGGTTAGTTCTCATGTTGCCATCTGTTGAATGTCTATGATGCTAATTGTGGTTCTTTCTTATTACAAGGTTTTTGGTAAATGTGATTTCTTTGGATGGTATTTGTGGTAATATATCCTTGAGAAGTTACTCGACTTTTTACCGTGGTAAATCCTTCTTCGGAAATTTTTTGTGGGGCATATAATAAAGTTTATTGGAAAATTGAGTGTTAAAAGAGTTCCTGTTTTCGAATTTCATCAAATCATCAATATATGATTTTCAGTTGTCTTTACACATTTAATCATATACTGGCTTTGTTCTTATCCTGATTCATTTTTTTTATAAGGTAAAGGTTTTATTGAATCGTACCAAGATGGTCAAAAGAAAGCACAAAAGCAAAGTACAGAACATGCAGCTATTACATTCTCCTTCCTAAGAGATCTATAAAATCCATATATTGATTTAGACTTACTAGAAGGCTACTTTTACACCAGAAATACAAGTTTTGTAAGCATCTATTTTTAGTTCTAGGAATTAAGAATTCTCTGCCATTCAGAACAAGCCTTGTTCCCCTCCAGGCTCCAGCCATATAGTCCAGCAAATGCACAATGGAACAGTCCTCCATATCTGCTTTTTAGGAACCACCTGTTGCTGCCAACTTTCCATTAATCCCTTCACATTTTGAGGCATCACCCAAGCAATACCTCTACAACAACATACTCAGTGTAATCCTACAAGTGGGGTCTAGGGAAGCTAGTGTGTACGCATACCTTACCTTTACTTTGTAAAGGTAGAGAGGCTGTTTCCGATATATCCTCGGCTCAAGGAAAGCATAAACACAATAATTTTGAAAAAGAGATACGGTAGTGGAGAAGCCATGCCATGGAAAGAAAAGCAGTAACAACAGCCAGAAAAATAAGATAATCGAAGCAAAAGAAACAACAGGTTCTAATAAAAGTGTAAGAATAAGGAATACGAAAATAATACTAGTACTATGGGTATGGAAAAAAATTATACGTATGAAAACCTTTCCACCGATGTTCTAATATAACCTTCCGATTCTATAGTTCTCCATGGCTACGAGGCCTCACATGGGTAGAGTTCGATATTCCTTTGTCGATGGCTGACCCCACTCTTTCCTTTCATCGGTCGGTAAGTGCATCCTATTCCTATTAAGCGGGACAGCAGTTGCTAAATAAAAAGGTGTGAAAAATGCTCGACTACCTACAAACCTACTACCCTAATCCTCGACTTCCACACCTTCCTATCAAGGGCTATGTCCTCGGTAAGCTGAAGATGTGCTTTGTCCTGCCTAATCACCTCACCCCAATACTTCTTCGGCCTGCTTCTACCTCTACTTGGACCCACCATAGCCAACCTCCCACACCTCTTCACCACGGCATTTGTGCATCTCCTCTTCACATGCTTGAACCATCTCAGCTTCGTTTCCCGCATCTTGTCCACCATAGAGGTTACTTCCACCTTGTCCCAAATATCTTCTTTCCTAATCATATCTCGTCAATTAGTACTATGTCAACTGTAAATAACATACACCACGACATCTCCCCTTGAATGTGTTGCGTCAACTTATCCATCACCAAGGCACATAAGAACGAGCTGACCGCTGATCCCTACTACAACCCCATCACGACTCGGAAGTGTTCTGAGTCTCCTCCCACTGTCCTTACTAGGTCTTGGCTTCATCGTACATGTGCTTAATCGTCCTAGTGTATGCTACCCGTATACCTCTAGCCTCCAAACATCTCCACAGAACCTCCCTTGGGACTTTGTCATATGTTTTTTCTAGGTCGATGAACACCTTATGTAAGTCCCTCTTCCTCTCCCTGTACTGCTTCATCAATCTCCTAACAAGATGAATGACTTCTGTAGTTGATCGCCTCGCAATGAATCCGAACTGGTTCTCCGAAATAGACACACCCTTCCTCACCCTTATCTCTACCACCCTCTCCCAAACTTTCATAGTGTAGTTTAGTAGCTTGACACCCCTATTGTTATTGCAATTTTGAATATCAGCCTTGTTCTTGTACAAGGGAATCATTGTTCTCCACCTTAATTCCTCGGGCATTTTTGCCATCCTAAAAATGACATTAAACAACCCAGTGAGCCCACTCCAAACCCTAGGCTCTTCCATAATTCTACCAGGATCTCATTTGGCTCGGCCGCTCTTTCCCTGCTCATCTTACGCATAGCCCCCTCAACCTCCTCAACCTTTACACGCCTACAATACCCACAACCCTGACTACTCTCGGAGTGCTCCAGATCACCCAGCACGATGTTCATGTCCCTTTCTTCGTTCAAGAGTCTATGGAAATATGTTTGCCATCTACGTCCAATGTGTGCCTCTTCCGCCAATCCTTTGCCATCCTCGTCTTTGATGCACTTCGCTTGTTCTAGGTTTCCGACCCTTCTTTCTCTCGCCTTAGCTAGCCTGTACTGCTTCTTACCCTCGCCTTTGTCCTCAAGTTCTTCATATAAGCATTCAAACACATCCGTTTTTGCCGTCGTAACAGCTAACTTCGCCGCCTTGTACCTCTTCCTATGCGTCCGCTTATCTTCTTCGTCTTGTCCTCTACTAACTTCACATACACATCCGATTTAAAAATTCCTTATTCAAATTATTACTTTTTTCTTTGTTGGTAGAAATTCACTGATTGTCCAGTTCATTAGGGAGTGTTTTTTGGAGTGACAATAGGGGTATCCTTCTTTTTATCATTTTCCAAAAAGTTGATAAACTTGGCGGGTATGTAAAAGATATTCTTTGTTTTCCATCACTTTTACATGTGTTAAAAAAATATTGTGACATTTCCGTTCTTATGGCCTGTTCAAATCGATTATTCTTTATGTAGCGAAATGGTCGATTCCATCGATTATAATCGAAAAGAAGACTCACAAGAGGCTGTTGAAACCAGAAGAGGTCTTTATTTTCATTTTTTTTATTCTTGGCTTTCATTTTCCCTTGGACCTCTCTGTACCACCACCAATCCCCTCGATATCTACCAACGTTACCCCTCGAGGCACCCAAACCTCTCTAGTTGCTTCCCGAATGAAACTAGCTGTCCTATCCACATGTTTGCATCCCTACTACTCCCCCAAGCCCCATCTCCACCAACTTCTCCCCTATCATCTGAGCTCTGACAGTAGTCAAGCCAACCCATTTGATCCTTGGCCTGTCGCATTAAGCCCTCTTTTTTTTCTTCCTCTTAATCTCTAAATCCATCGCCAAGAGCTTATCTTAGATTGTAAGATTCTCACTCGGGTTAACCTTGCAGTCCTTACAAAAGAACTCTATCACCCTTCCTAAGGAGTAAGTAATCTATGTGAGTCTTAGCCACTATATTATGAAAGGTCACCAAATGCTCCTCCTTCCTCGGGAAACTCGAATTAGCTGTCACAAACTCAAAAGTTTCCGCAAAATCCAAAAGCGAGACTCCTCATTCGTTTCTATCCCCAAAACCAAAACCACCATGCACAACGTTATAACCCCCTAAAGTTGTCCCGATGTGGCCATCAAAATCTCCTCCTATGAATAGCTTCTCAGTGAGCGGTATACCGATCACAACCTCATCCAAATCCTCCCAAAATGCTTCTTGGCCTCCTCTCCCAATCTCGCTTGAGGCGTGTAAACACTAATTATGTTTAAAGTAAGCTCTCCAACGACTGGCTTAATCCCCATCATCCTGTTGTTAACCCTCTTAACCTCTACCACCTGCTCCCTGAGTTTCTTATCAACTAAAATGCCTGCTCCATTCCTATTCCTCGAGCCTCATGAGTACCACAATTTAAACCCGTCCACATCCCGTGTCTTAATCCGTACCCATTTGGTTTCCTGGACTTAAGCTATATGGATCCTCCTTTTCTTGAGAATTTTCACCAACTCTATAGACTTCCCGTCAATGTCCCTATATTCCAAGACCCAACTCTCTTTCTAGAGGCTCCCTTAACCCACTTGCCACCCCTGACCCTCACCCCCAGCCTCAACCGAGGAATGACCTTAATATACCATCGTTCATCAGAGTCACTACAACAGGTGTAAACTAATTAGGGGTTTACTAAAAATGACAAAAAATAAACGGCGATTCTAGAGTTAAAGAAAGGCAAGTGGGACTAAATACAAGCATCGATATTAAAGGACAGGAAAGCAAATACGAATGAGCGAAACAGAATAAAGCAAATCAAGAAAGATAGAACCTGGATTGTAGTCGGAGGCGTCAAGACGATGTTGCCACTCCTTGGGCAGGAGGAATTACAGTAGAGAACACTTGGATGGAGGTCGACGGAAACAATGGAGCTCATCGGAAAACTGACCAGAATGACTGTATCTCGCCGGAACTGGCAGGAACTTGGGTGGGTTAGGTCGATTTGAGGAGGCGACCACCAAAGAGGGAAAATCTTGCCGGAAATCTGACTGCATGGTTGCTCACGCGCCGACGCGTGGCTGGATCTCGCCGGAATAGTCCTGGTTCAGCCGGCCCTGTTCACTGTACACAAATGCAAACACACAACACACACACAAGGAGAGGGAGAAGGAGAGAGAGATGGAGAGAGGAGAGAGGAGAGAGAAGGGGTGGGATGTTTGTCGCCGTCGCTGGGTTGGTCACCGGTGGTGAAACAACAGCTCAGGGAGAAGAAAAAAAAGAAAAGAAAAAGAAGGAAGAGAAGAGGAGAGAGAGGAGAGAGAGAGAGAGGAGAGAGAAGGTGCCTACCTGCTGGGGATGGTGGTCGCCGGCGCTGGGTTGGTCACTGGCGGAGAAAGAGTCGTTAGAGAGTTCAAAAAGAGAGAGAGAGAGAGAGTTTGAAGAGAAAGAGAGGTAGGACCTCACTGCAGATTATGTAGCAATCCCAAGCAATACCTCTAATGGTTAGAAAAAAATCTCAACATTGTCTTGCAAAACTGCAATGGGGAAAAAGATGTCAACTGGTTCCTGATTTTCTTGACATAGATAGCATCTGCTGCATAGAAAAAAACCCCCTCTTCTGCAAGTTATTCTGAGTTAAACATGCCCTGCAAGCTGTTATCCGCCCAAAGCAAGCTACCATGACAGGAGCTTTTGTTTTCCATATCATCTTCCAGGGCCAAGAAGCTTTGCACTGTCCTGATTGCTTAATCAACAGTCTGTAGCAGTTTTTAACTGAAAACTTTTTGTTTTTGCTTGCTAACCAAAGCAAGGAGTCCATTCTATCATGATCGATACAGACTGATTCCAACTGCAGAAGTAACCAACAGAAAAGCTCCATATCCCAGTCATTTAAATTCCTTCTGAAAACAATTTGCCAACCAGGACGAAAATCAGCAAGTGTACCTTCTTTATTTGCTGAACAGCTAAATAGAATAGGGAATTTATCCTTCAGGTACTCGTCTCCAGCCCACAAATCTGTCCAGAATCTAATTTTTAATTCCATCATCCACCCCCAATCTGGTGAATTGATTAAATTCTCCCTAAAGCTTACTTATGTTCTTCCAGACTCCCCTTTTAATATTTCTCCATCCTTCCTCTTTACCATGAATAGCATTTCAGCTCCTTCCAAAACTTCATTTCGTTCCATGTAATACCTCCAAAGCCATTTAACTAGCAAACTTTTATTGTTTAATTTCGGATTTCTTACACCCATTCCACTCCCTTCTTATCCCTCAGAACTACCTGCCGTTTGACCAGATGAATTCTTTTCACGTCTTCATTTTCATCCCATAAAAACCTATTTTTTATTGAATTCATTTTTTTCTCCAATGCTGCTGGCATTGAGAATATGGACAGTAGGTAGGTAGGCATACCATGTAGCACACTTTTAATGAGAGTAAGTCTGCCCCCATTGAGAAATATTGTTTCTTCCATGGGTTAGTTTATTAGCACATCTATCCAGAACACCTTACCAAATGTTCTTATCCTGATCTATTTATCTTGACTGGAATCCTCTTCATGGGTAATCCTATGTTTAAATGGAGTAGTTGGTGCTTCATTCAATCAATCAGCTCTGCCTTGAGCCAAAAGAAGTTAGGTCGTCTATGTGAATCCCCTTAAACTATTATATTTAATTCGGATCCAACTTGTTCCTTGCTTACATTCCATGGAAAATCAAGATTCTCCAAAACTAGAGATTCTCTAATTCTCACATATATATACTTACCAATATACTGATTTATAAGTCCCTTAATCAGGCTAAACTGCCAAAATGGCGGATCTAATGCAAGTGTAACAACAATAACTAAAAGCCTTAATCCAAACAAGTTGGTGTGAGTCATTACTTTTATTGTGTTCTTTCCTCCGCCAAATGAGCGTTGATGATGAATAATTGGTGCTTGTGGAATGAAAACTGACATCAGCTTTTGACAACTCATAAAAGAAACTAACTTCAGTCTTTGACAAGGTAAATCAACAGATTTTGTGGTATTCCATTTTAAAGCAAAATTTTGACTTTTGGAATAGTATCTTGGTATTATATTCTTTCGCTGGGGTACCTCATGATCTCTAGAATAAGGCACAAAGATATTGATGGTTAATTAAGGTTTGTGTACTTTCCCAGGAGAAATATAATCGTTTTTGTTCCCAAATTTGATAGTTAACCCAATAGAATGTCAATGCAACAATTGTATTAGGAGAAAAAGATCCAAGTCTCATGTTAGCATTTGCTGATTGTTTTCTTTGATACTTCTTTTCATTACTGAGAAAACTCGGGGCCAGCTGCCGCACGGTTTGAAACTCGGTTGGTAATGGTCCACTGCTCTATCCTTCTCCACTTAAAATACCATGATTTTGTCGACAACGGTATTCGAACTCGTAACATGTGCCTAACCCACACATAGTTTTGTGCTCTTACTACTTGACCAAAGCCTTAGAGACTAAAGTTTTCTTTATCTTCACGATTGTTTTTTGAAAATTATTCAAAAGAGACTTGTTACTCCCATTTTATTTCTGTCTAGGGCCTCTCCGTAAATTGAAATACTCTAGAGTACACTTTCAGCTGGTACAAAGAATTAGAAGTGATAGGCACTCATTTCCATAATTTTCTACTATGATGTGTTGATCTTCTTGTCCTTAGTTAACTGCCGTCTTCATTAAGGCCCATTTCTATATCAATGCTGGTAACTACATTATTTGATACAAAAACCGAAGAAGTACTCATGTATTTTATTTCTTATTGGAAGGCAAAAGAAGCACAAATTAATAGTTTACATTTAAAAAGTACTCCAAAGAAACTAGAAATTATCCTTGTTTCAGGAAAGTAGATGCCATTTAGGGATGTCAAAAGTATAAATGATGACTCTTATTATGCAATATATAAATGGTATGTAACCAATATAATTGAGTTATTGGTATTATTCAAGAAGGAAATATGACAGACAAAAAATTAAATAGCTTATCATATCTGCAATAAATTCTTTAGGTCAACAAAGACCCCAAATGGGTGATGTTTTAGGGTCCTGTTATCTTCCCTCCTTGCGTCACAGGATATACAAATCCGGGAAAGTAATTGGTAGGTTTTATTCATCAGCAAGTGTTTTTATATAATCCAACTGTAAGATAATGACTCCAGCAAGATTTGAACAATCTTTGTGATTATTTATGTTGGCTCTTGACATCCCGACTGTTGATTATCTTTTATTTTTTAGCTTCCATTTCTCCTGGGAGTTCCTATATTAGAGAAACTTGCAGCGCCAGTTGCTCCCATTTTTGCTGGTCGAACTGGTAGTCAGCTCTTCCTCACAGAGGGCAAGCCCAACAAACCACCTCTTCTACTTAGAATGGCATCCGACTGTGATGATGGTAAATTTATGTGAGTCAAAAAATCTTTCTACCATTCCCGAGCAGCAGTTTCCTATTCCATCCTTAAGCTTCTTACACATGTTTTTTCCTTCTTGCAGATCGGCCCTCGGTGCTTTCAAATGTCGTGTTC